TATTACATAATTACATTTGAGTCTCTCGAGTATTTATACGAGATCTAAATACGGAGGCCTTAAGTATGGTACAAACACAATAAATACGTTGTTAAGTTTTTTGTGAGTTACTAATACGAGTGCGAAGGTATGAATCTGATTCGGTTTCTTTTCATAACCGGCTTCATTTTCCGTTCTTTCTTAAGATTGAGTTGGAGGATGCTGTGGAGAATGTTGGTGTTAAACTGGTGAGGCAAGCTGGTGCGAAAACAAATGACCTCGCAGGAGACGGTTCCACCACAGCTGTAGTTCTTGCTCATGGTTTAATTACTGAAGGTGTGAAGGTATGAATCTGATGCCATCCATTGCTTTGTTTCTTGGACTAGAAGAAAGAAAGTACTTATTGTGATGGTTAAGGATCCTACATTGTTATAGAAAGGCTAGGTTGTTCTTAGATGTCTGTGACAACTGAGCTAAGCCGCATCGTATCCAAATACTATGTTTAATACCGCTATTAAACATGTCGTTTAATGGAATGCAAGTCGGCATTCAATTAAACTTTGGCAACTTTTTTGTATTGTACATAAACTTTCTTCTAGGTTACTGCAGCTGGCATGAATCCCATTCAAATTGCTCGTGGGATTGAAAAAACTGCTGTGGCCCTCGTTGCTGAACTCAAATTGATGTCCAGAGAGGTAACCAGATTTGTTTTCCTTCTTCTAATTGAAAGATTGAAAACCCCTATCGATCCAAGCATTATTGAAAATCATGAAAAAAGTATAGCGAAATGAAGACATTGTATTAGGCTGTACAAAAACATTTGAAGAAACATTTTTTAGTTAATTCAGTTACCATCCTACATATATTGCTATGCAGATTGAAGATCACGAGCTAGCAGATGTTGCTGCAGTTAGTGCAGGCAATGATTATACAGTTGGGAATATGATTTATGACGCTCTTCGTCAAGTAGGAAAGAAGGGTGTGGTTACCATTGAATCAGGGAAAAGTACAGAGAACGACCTACAAATTGTGGAAGGAATGCAGTTCGATCGTGGATACTTATCGCCTTATTTTGTCACTGATCGAAAAAAAATGATAGTGGAGTTTCAGGACTGTAAGGTAAGAAGTTCACGTTACTTATGGACTGGCATGCTCCCCGATGAAGTAATTAGACGTCATGAATTCTTTGTTTGCAGTTACTTTTGGTTGACAAGAAAATTACACACCCAAAGGAGCTGTTCAAAGTATTGGACAATGCAGTACAAGAAAAGTATCCTGTCGTGATAGTTGCAGAGGGCATTGAGCAGGAAGCTTTGACTCCAGTGATCAGAAACAAACTCAGGGGTGCGCTGAAGGCAGCTGCTATTAAGGCTCCTGCCTTTGGCGAGCGCAAAAGCCATTACTTAGATGACATTGCCATTTTGACTGGAGGTAGTAGGTTAAACATCGAAACTCAGATATTAAATGAGCTCCGGCACAGTTCTTCACATGCATGTATTTTGCAGCAACGGTCGTGAGAGATGAGATGGGGATTGTCCTATATGATGTTGGGAAGGAGGTTTTGGGCACTGCTACTAAGGTTGTGATAACAAAGGATTCTACATTGATAGTTACCCATGGCAGCACCCGGGAGGCTGTAGAAAAGAGGGTTTCACAGATACAAAAGCTTGTTGAGGTACATCCGACATCTCTTGGCACTCTTCTTTGTTGCTGAAGTGTAGAAGGAACTCTACACATCGTTATTTCCTCTGTCAAATACAACACAACTAATTTTTTTCTTTTTTCAGAATACTGAAGAAGAATTTCAAAAGAAGATACTAAATGAAAGAATAGCAAGATTATCAGGGGGAATTGCTATTCTGCAGGTAATGAAAAGCTTAATGCACTTAGGCATCTTTATAATCTGAATGCCGGGGGCCTGACTTTCTTTCAAGATGACATATTGGTTCTCATAATTGATTCATAGGTAGGAGCACAAACACAAATTGAGTTGAAAGATAAGCAACTTAGAATTGAAGATGCTTTGAATGCAACCAAGGTAGTTTCCCGCTGTTCTTATTTTCGTAAGAAGTTGAATGCCAGTCGATAATGGTTGTTTTCTAACTGGATCACAATATAGGCAGCTATTGAGGAAGGTGTGGTAGTCGGTGGTGGCTGTAGCCTTCTGAGGCTCTCTAAAAAGGTGGATGCTATTAAAGAACTTTTGGATAATAAAGAACAGAAGGTACCTCCCTGCCACTCCATTTTTAATCATTTCGTGCTCGATTCATGCTGTTCAACCTGTTTTTACTAAGTTTTCATAGCCATTGTGGTCGTTTATCTGTGTTTGCGCAGATTGGAGCGGAGATCTTCAAGAGAGCTCTAAGTTATCCTGTAAAACTGATAGCTAAAAATGCAGGTGTAAATGGAAGTGTTGTAGTAGAGAAGGTCTCTGCATGTTAAATGCATTTTCTTCTCAAAACGTAATTTTAGATTTAGTGCACTTGTCATGCTTTCTGGCTGGATATCTTGAATCAAACTGTTCTACTGAGACTAGTTGAATTTTGCAGGTTCTGTCCAACGATGACATGGGGTACGGATACAATGCTGCGAAAGACTGCTATGAGGACCTAATGAAAGCCGGGATCATGGATCCATCAAAGGTTTTGTAACACTCAATGACTTTGGAACAAAATTTCTACACTTGATGACATAACTAAGCTAGAATCCGGCATTTTAAAAGGTTATTCAACATGAAAACGGTTCCTTATTTTTGGACAGGTAGTTAGATGTTGTTTGGAGAATGCAGCATCAGTGGCCAAAACTTTTCTGACATCGGATGCTGTGGTTGTCGAAATTAAGGAAACACAGCCCATCCCAAGAGGAATGCCGCCAAAACTGCCGGATATCCCAAGAATGCCTCCACCACCACCACCAGACCTGGCCAGTATCCCAAGAAGAAGAAGAAGGGCAACACCACCAATGCCCATGCCAACCACAGGTAGTTCCGTGCCTTCCAAACAAGGGTTTTTGGTTTCTATGGTTTTCCTGCTTCTCATTGATTTAATGTGGCTGTTGAAGGACAAGAAACTAATTCAAACGTCTGATGATTCAGGTGCTGGGCCCTTGGGCTTTTAAAGAGGGACTTGTAGCCCTATTGGTGAAGAGCACGCATTCCCACGTGTATGATACACGGTGTATCTAAGGTTCAAAGTTCGATTTTCTCCCGTCCGTCAATAGTGCTTGAATATAAAGAATGACTGTACAATGTAAATAGTTTCATTGTCCATCTAAAAGTCTGCAATGTGGGAAGAATGCCACTCGCTGTTCATATGATACACTTGATTGTTTTTTTGTACAAGATTGACGCGTCATGGGCATTAATCTTTTTGTCCATGATCAAATTTCTCATTAATTATGAGGTAACTAGTTCAATGTAACTTTATTTTTCGTTATCAATATTCAATAACCTCGTACCTTGGAAGTTTTTTTTGAAAATAAAGTTTATTTATGCAAAATCAGAGGGAGAGAGTATTATATATGCCAAATTGCATCAAGTGTGTTTTGATACGTGCCCCAAGAAGATGGAGATGGAGATGGAGACGGAGACGGAGACGGTTGGTGCTAGAAAATGATGGTATGTATACATCTGAGCACAGGCAACCAATTTATTGGTAACAACAGCCAAGTGGGCACCGATGGTAACCCCCTCGGTGAGGTCTCAGACCTCTTCGGTGAGGACTCAGGCCTCCTCGGTCCTCACTCCTCACCGACCAAGTTTGTCATCCTGATACGTGATGACATTTGAGGCTTTTATTGCTTTCGTCGGCCTAAACAAAAATTCTGTACTATTAAATGTGCGTCTGAAAACTTCCAAATAATGTGAGGAGTGAGTCCGATCCATTTATAAGATGCAAGGACCATTAAACCCTCTAAGCAGGAAATTCTTTAAGCAAGTGCCAAATCGCAAAGTGTTTTACCTTTGTATCATGAAGTTCATTTGGCTTTCCAAACTTGAGTTCGGGTGTGATGAATTCAAGACACGAATGTTTTCCTTTGCTTATTTTTGGGCATGTCTCGCCCTTAAATTCACAATTCCGCGCGGTGACAACTAATTTGGTCAACTTAGTGTTTTATGTTTTGTTGAAGTTTTTTTTTTTATTGAGAATATCTAGAATGCCCTTGCTGATGTTTGTATTGTTTTTAGTAAGTAATAAAACCGCTATCGTTGGTCTAAAATAATTGTGACAATATCTGGTACCATTATGAGGTCGGGTGAAATTTAAAGGCATGGTTCCGCTTGTTTGTGAGAGCTATCATGCACGTAACGTAATTAGATGGCCATATTGATGATTTGATAATAACAAGTGATTTTCACACTCTTTTTCTTGGAATATGATTCTCTTCTCTCTCTCTTTTTTCCTCCCCTCCCCTTCCCTCTTATTTGAACGGTCACGGTTAAGTCACGTCAACATCTCATATTAATTTTTTATAAAAAGAGAAAGACAAAATAAAGAATGTGAGAAGAAGGGATGAGAGAGGATGGAAAGAGAAGGAAAGAGAATCATACTCCCTTTTTCTTTCGCTTATCTGTCTTGTTATATTAAAAATTAATTAATCAAATTAGAAGTAATATTACGTTTGGATGAACAAATTTAAGATTATTAAGAAATTTAAAAAGAAGGGAAAAAACCGTTTTACCACACTGACAGTAATTTTTAATATTTATATAGTTTGATGCGAGTATAATTTTTTTTATTAATATTAATAATTTATCTCAATAATACGCTAGTTTGTGAAAAACGAAAATTGAGGTAAAAAATGAAAAGAACGAGAGTAGAAGAAGAAAGTAGTAAAGATCATTAGTGTTTCTCATCTTTGAGAATTTTTTAGTTGTGACGAGAATATGGATTGTACAACATGTGTTTTTATGTAAATGATGAAAAATTTTAATTTTTAACTTATTAACATTTTAACACACATAATCCATTATTTATACAAGGACACGTGGTAGACTACCTCGTGTGACTGTTACACTGAAAAATCTCTCTCTCTCTCTCTCCAGGCAAGAAAATGACACGTGCAACTGCAAGAACATCACAAAGCACACCATCCCAAAAACTGGAAATCCCCTCTCCCAAATTCCCAGAAAATTTCTTTGTATTTTTGCTGCCGTTCTTGCCTTCTTTCTTCTCCTTTATTTTTTCCTTTGCTGCGTCCTCACCTCCTCAGCTTCTGTATAAATGTCGTCGGAGCAACGCGATCCTCTCACCAGCTGAAATTGGAAAAGAAAAAAAAAACCCCAATTCGGATCTTCCCGTTTGCCAATCAGGAAATAGAAAGATGTTGATGATGGGATTGAGCATCCAGAGCTTACTGGATTTGGCCGTGGCCGGAATTTCAATGATGGTCGGGTTGGGGATCTTCGCGTTTATCGCTTCCATTCTTTGCTCTGCCGCGTTCCTGCACACCGCCAGCGCCAAGGACGTCTCCTCTTGATCCCCCCATTACTTGAAAGGTAACCATTCCCAATTTCAAATTGAGATTCAGCTTCGCTTCGGCTGCATAAATCTTGATCTGGGTCTTCATGAATTGATGCGATCCAGGTTTTATCTCCGTCGAGGTGAATTTTTTTGTTTGATTGATGATGTTGAATTGGTAGATTTTGCTATGAACTTTTCTTCGCGATGTGTTTTATAGGTTTACCGTAGCATACAGAAGGAATGACATGGTTGGCAACGAGTATTGATTCAATTCAAATGTAGCTCTGATTAGTGGTTCTGGTTTTGAAGATTTTGTAATTTGTATCCATAACAATTGCAGCGAGGTTGTTCAATAAAAAGTCTCCTCCTCTGTTTGAAAAAATGCAAATACTGTACAAGTGATTTCCGCACATTTTTTTCTCTCGTTACGCAATCGCGTTTAAAATATGCGTACCATTTTTGTCATAAAATACTTCAACATTAGTCACAAAATTGTAGTGAATTATGAGACAAAATACAGTGATTAATGTGAAATTACGAGCTGTCATGTTTTTCTTTGGGGTAAAATTATGCTTTCTAAAAGACGCTAAGCGTTAGCAATGGATTATGAAGCAAAACTCATTGATTAATGTGAAATTACGAGTTTGTCATGTTCTTCTTTTGGGCTTTCTTGAATACACCATTCCCCGGATCCCATCCGGATCCGCCACAAAACCCAACGGCCTGTAAAACCCGAGAACCCTGGGTTCCGAATACAAAGCAATATTACATATCCCTTTCCCTACCAGCTCCTCTATCAACCTCTCCATCACCGCCTTCCCCAGCCCCAGCCCCTGAAACGACGGGTCCACCACCACGTCCCATATGATCGCGTTGAACACGCCGTCTCCCGTCGCCCTCGCGAACGCCACCGGCCGCTTCGTCTTCCTGTACTCCATCCACAGCAGCGAGTCCGTGTGCTCCAGCGCCGTCCGGATCTTGTCCGGGTCCCGCTTCGGAAACCCGACGGCCACGAACACCTTGTTGAGGTGGTCCAGGTTGAGCTCCGCGATCGTGCGGTGGAGGTTGAAGCCCCGGGTGTCGAGGTCTTGGTCGGAGATTGAGTATTGGTTGGTAGTTAGGGAGCGGCGCGACGGGGTGAGGCTTTGCGGGGGAGTGGGAGCGGCGCCGGTGCTTCTGAGGCGGAGACAGGGGAGGGGAGCGGAGATAGTGCCACGTAAGATCATGTTTGGGAAGAGGTGAAGTGATAAGTTGGATAAACGAGGGAGAGAGCAGCATTGGGTTTTGTATGGATGCGCTGTACCGTGGTCAGTTTGTGGTGGTGAGTCGCCCTTCGTGGATACAGAAAGCCTGCCGACAAACGACGTCGTTATGACGAAGTAACTTCAACGGGTAAAACATAAGTGGAAATGATAAAATGAACTGTTTGAATGTGTTTTTAAAATAATAGAAAATGTTTTTGATGAAATTGACTTTAGGTTTCAAAAGCACTTTAATATTTTTTAGAAGAAACATCAGATATGTGATTCCTGTAAGAAGCACTTAAAATATTTTTTCAAAATCTACTTGGATTTCTACTAAAAATTGATTTAAAAAATATTCTCATTAAAAGAACTTTCAGTTATTTGAAAACTCTTAAAAACGAGTCCAAAAGCATTGTACATTGTGTCTAATAACGCTATTACTTCAGTGATCGACAACTATTTATCACCGATATAAATCGACTATTTGCTATAACAAACTAATGAATGAGGCTTAATGGTTGGGTAGATCGGATTAGGGATGAAGCGAAAGATATGTATGGATGTGGGTATCTCTAAATAACAAAGTTATAAATTAAAAGTGAAACAATTTACTACACAAAATCTTATATTTTAATCTATAAAAAATTTCTAGAATCTACAATATCACTCTATGGGTTTTCATGTTTTGAAGCGTTGCACAACAACTTCTTTACTAATACCATCAAATATTTCTCTATCAAATAATCATATTATCATTCATTCATTGATTTTCTATACATTTTTTAAGGAAAATTAATGAAAATGACTTGAAAACTTTGAGTTTTAACGACAAAGACAAAATAAATGGCAAAGTGAATAGTATCATGATTAACATTTTAGTGTAAAAATATAATTTTTTTGTTAAAATGAACATTACCATAAATTTTTCGTTAAAATTCCCTATTTTTTAACCAAAAACCTAAGTGGGAGCATCTGGGGGCAAAGTGGCTCCGTCCTTTGGTGGGATCCACTCGTGTGGCAATCAACACACTAACAAAAATGTTAACGAAAAACAAAAGGAAGGGTCAAAATTTTGGACAAGGATTGTCTGCCCTCCCGTGCCATTCTGTTTTGTGTGGTCACGGTTAAGTCACGTCAACATTTTATATTATTTTTTTTATAAATATAATAAGATAAAAATGAATAGTAATATAAAATGTTGACATGGGCTTAACTGTGATCACACAAACAGAATGGCACAGAAAGGGCACCAGAAGTGGAGGGCAGACAATCCTTGTCCCATAATTTTTCCCTGACCATTATACCGACCTCACAAAGAACCCTATTGTAGTGTATAGCATGTACTCGAAATAGATAGTGAAATATGCAATTAAAGTAGGGACTTGGATTGTATATAGCATGTACTCGAAATAGATAGTGAAATATGCAATTAAAGTAGGGACTTGGATTGTCTGCCCTCAATCATTCTATATTCTTCCCATTTCTTTCTATTTATGTGGTCACAATTAAACCACGTTAATATTTTATATTTCTATTGTTTTTTATCTTATTATTTCTATAAAAAAAATTAATATAAAATGTTTACGTAACTTAACTGTGACCACATAAATAAGAGGAGGTATGAAGGGTATGAGATGAAAATGGCAGACAATCCAGATCCTTAAAGTAGGGGGTTTAGCTTACAAATTAGATATGAATGTGTCATCAACACACTTTTTTTTACTTTACATATTTTTTGTTAATTCATATTGTTTGATGTTCTTCAATTTAATCGATTCGACGATTAAAAATTAAAAAAGTTATAAAAAATAAAAATAAATGTATAGATATTACACCCCATTAGATATTCCCACTTAGTATTCTTGTGCATTCTTGATTCTTCTCCTTCGTTTTCATCTCTCTTTGACGAGATAAATTTAGATATTTTCCCCCCTAGCTTGCGACAAAGCCGAGGCAATTGAGCTACACATGTCGGATGCAATCATGTAAAATTTAAAGCAACGTACATCATATAGATTCATGGTGGTATTTTAACCACGTTTCGAAATTCAGAGACATCTTTAAGGTGGACTGTTGCAAGATAAAAATAAGGGTAAATTATATTTTGGACTTGGATTGTCTGCCCTTCTATTTCGGTGCTTTACCCGTGCCCTCCTGTTTTGTGTGGTCACGGTTAAACCACGTCAACATTTTATATTGTTTTTTTTATAAAAATAATAAAACAAAAAGAAATAGTAATATAAAATGTTGACGTGACTTAACCGTGACCACACAAACAGGAGGGCACAAAGAGGGCACCGAAATGGGAGGGCAGACAATCCAAGTCCTTATATTTTACCCCCTCAGGTTTGGGGTCGATTTTGGGAACTTTAACGAAAATCTTCTGATATTGTTCACTTTAACGAAAAACCACATTTTTACACTAAAAAGTCAATCCTGGTACTATTTACTTTACCCTTTATTTTTTTCTTATCATTAAAACTCAAAGTTTTCAGGTCATTTTCATTGGTTTTCCTGTTGATTTCAATTCCTTATAATATCTTTAAAACATTTCACTTCCATACTTCACATACTATTTTATTTCAATATAGTACCTCCGTTATATTTTTCATTTATTGATTCGTTAAGAGCTGACGTGGCTGCCACATTTGTGCTAACGTGGCTGCCACATTTGTGCTAACGTGGCTGCCAAATTTATGCCACGTGGCAACTTTTTTTTATTCATTTAAAATATTATAATAATTTACTCTATTTATTAAAAAAAAAACAAACCTATCTTCTTCCCCAACCCTTCCCTTTCCCTGCATCCCTAACACCTCATCCCCCCACCCACACCTTCTCCCCCGCAACCCCCCACCCCACCTGTCTCTTACCTAATCACCCTCACCCCTTTTTCTCCCTTCTCTCATATGCAACCCCACCTATAACATCTCACATCACCTACAGGAGTGGATCCTGTAAGCCTTATATGTATATTCTCGTCTCTACCTAGCACGAGGTCTTTTGGGAACTCACTGCTTCAGATTCCATTGAAACTCCGAAATTAAGCGAGTCCGCGCCAGAGCAATCGCATGATGGGTGACCCATTGGAATTTCTCATGTGAGTTTCCAGATAATAAAATCATGAGGGCGTGGTTGTGGCCCAAAACAGACAATATTATTCTACAGCGGAGTCGAGCCGGGGATGTGGTGGGGGACCCGGGTCGGGATGTGACAATTTTGTATCAGAGCCAATCCCTGGTCGGAAGTGTGCCGACGAGGATGTCGAGCCCCTAAGAGGGGTGGATTGTAACATCCCACATCGCCCAAGGGAGTGAATCATGTAAGCCTTATATGTATATTCCCATATCTACCTAGCACGAGACCTTTTAGGAACTCACTGGCTTCAGGTTCCATCGGAACTCCGAAGTTAAGCAAGTCCGCGCGAGAGCAATCCCATGCTGGGTAACCTATTGGGAATTTCTCGTGTGAGTTCCCATAAACAAAATCATGAGGGCGTGGTCGAGGCCAAAAGCGGATAATATCGTGATACGGCGGAGTCGAGCCTTAAATGTGTAGGGGCTTGAGCTGGGATGTGACACCACCCACCTTTATTTCCTCTACAACTCGCACCCACCCTCCCTCATGATTTTAATCTCGTCGCCCCCCGATCCATCACTTCGCTGATCTGGACCATGGTGGTGGACCCTCCGACCCATTTACCCGACTCTAAGTCGATCAATTTCGCAAGCTTCAACGATTCCTTGGTCTTCTCCAATCGTCGTGGAGATCGCCGATTGTGACCAAACAGTCCTATGGGAGGTAATAGGTTTGCAACAGTGGGCACGAGGGCAAGGGATCGTCAGAGCTGTGGTGGGCATCAAGGGCGTTCTGGTGATTTTGAGGGGAGGCGGGAAGTGAATGATTGGGGGTTTGGGGTAAGAGGAAGAGGCTTCCGTTAATGGAGAAGTCGACGAAGGTATCAATGAAAGAGGATAGGAGATTGGGATTATGGGTTATGTTTGTTGCTGAGAAAATGATAGGTTTTTTTAATTATTTTTTACCTTTTCTTTAATTAATTATTTTTTAAATGCATAAATTTTTTTGCCACGTGGCATAAATTTGGCAACTACGTCACCACAAATGTGGATCCTATATTTGCCACGTCATCATTTAACGGTTTACTTAAAATATTTTCTAACAGATGTATGAATTTGAAATAAAATAGTAGGTGATGTATGAAAGTGAAATGTTTTAAAGATGTTGTAAAAAATTGAAATCGACCCCAAACCTGACGAGGTAAAATGTAATTTACCTTAAAAATAACCATCCAAATTCAAAGAGATCTTATGGTTTAACTGTTGAGAGTTAAACTCCTTTTTTCTGTTATGATGCGTTATTCTACTATAAACTAATTTGATCGAACTAAGTTTTAAACTTCCGAATGCATTTAGAGTAAGACCATCCGATGTAGTTTAGTAGGCTAAACTCTTTTTATTGATAAAACGGTAGTCTACAGTAAACTAATATAAGCGGAGTAAGATTTGAACTTGAATCTATTACAAAGACACCACCCTCTTTAGTTCGTGTTTGTGCCAGTTTTCTCAATTACAACACTTTGATTGTTAACCACCGCCAAATATGCATCTTAATTAACCTTAAACTCAATACTAATCACACTAATGGAAAGCTAAATTCTCCTCTAACCCTCCGATTAATCTTTCTTAATTACCTTAATTGGCTGCTCAACTGCAGTCCAAACTTCACACCTGACTTTCAGCACTATCTGCCTTGTGCAGCAATTCCTCCTCCTCCTCCCCCTTTTCTCTGACCCTTAATCTTTCATCCTCTCTCTTCTTCTCCTTTCTGCAAGTTACTTTCTTATCTCTATCTGCATGCCTGAGCCGCCATCCGCCGCTGCGATTTCTGCCGCCGATCCCACGTGGAAGTAGTACTTCTTCACGGTGGCTTGGGCCGGAGGAGGCGTCTGAAACCATGGAGTCATCACTCTCACCATCATGACGATCAACAATACAGTTCTTGCCATTGATTTTTCCACCCCCTTTTTTACGATCACTGATATTGTAGTAAACTTCATTACTTTCGCTACGCATGGTGGGGGAGCCAATATACATTGTCCATCCAGACTCGCTACTCCCACTCCATTTCTTCGCATCGCCTCCAACAACTTGGAAAGACTCCATTCCACAGAGACACAAAGCTCGGAAGCTCACCCCCAACAACTTTTGAGATAAAAACTGAAAACGAAATGATTAACGAAGCGAGCTCGAGTTAGGTAGAAACTTTTGAGACAAGATGTTATGACTCTTATCATAGAATGGGAATGCACTTATATATCAGTTTGTTTATTTGCCTTCAACTCTCACAGAAAGGACAAAGAAATCCATCTCAGGACCCCCTTCCCTCTCTTAATTATTGAATGAATATTGCCAAGGATGCGTCACCACCTGGCAAACCTATCACCATATTTTCCATGGTCACTACAGGACAAGTTCTTGGATAAATGGTGTTTCAATACGTACAGAGATCTTCTTCGGATCTCATTGTCCGGAATTCAATGACAAAATTGAATTCGATGATTCTCATTAATTCATTTTGCTAACTCATTTCATACAAACTAATTAAGAGCTTTAGTTTATCTTTCGCACAAACTAAGAACCTTAATTGTCTAGTTCTTAAGCACCGAATAATGAGGTGGAATATCCAAATTCATTCACAACTTACATGTGAAAAATAAATGGGCAGAGCTAGGTAGCTCACTTGTCGCCGTCATCTGCTCTCTCTCTCTCTCTCTCTCTCTCTCTCTCACACACCCTTTACTTCTCTGTGTTGCTTATAAATAATGACCAGTTTTTGGTTGGGGAACAGGCAGGCCTCTATTTAATTGGAGAGTACATATTCAACTAGCTTTCAATCGTTCGAGGTTTTAAGTTCGACCCACATGAATGTAATGGGCGATATATATTTGTGATAGTTTGAAAACTAGTTGCAGCTGATCCGGTTGTAATGGTGTAACTTCATTTTTCCTTGAATTCTTTGTGCCCTGCCATCATCAAGAAGGAGCAGCTTTTTTCCCTGTGAAAGTTTCAGTCTTGGCATTTTTTACAGTAGACAATTTACACTAAATTGGACGAGGTTATGTGGTTGAGGGAAAACTTGTGAAAAAGGTCATTTAATTTGCTTCTCTTTTGTTCTTGTAATTGCTGTGCTTCCTTTCCTCCCCAACAAGCAAATCCCCTACTGCTTCTCTCTCTTCTGAGAATTTGTCTGCAGATCCAGAGATGCTAGCTTATGCAGCAATCACACAGTTGGGATCACTAATTTTGGGGTTTTATTATGTTAATCATGATTAGGAATTTGATTAGGATGTAATTAAGTCAGTGATTATTTGACTTCTGTCAAATGAAAGGTTGGATTTTTCTTCTTTTGGTTTGTGTTTACAGTATAGTCAAGGGGATTTTATCCAAACCACAATAAATTCAGATGCAGTAATTATATTCATATCATATTTTTATACCACATTTTTATACCATCTTTTGTGGCATCTGATGTGACAACCACATCAATTGAAAAATTTGTAAAATCCAAGGAAATGAAGGAGAAAGACTTCTCGTATACCACAATCAGCATTTAATTAACTAGTTTTTCTTAATTATTAGTTTATTAAATAAATTTAAAATTTTGATTAATTCAAATGACATGGTTGTCCACATCAAATACCATATAAGATGGTATAAAAATGTGATACAAAAATATAATAGGAATAACATTTCTGTTAACAATCCACAAGATTCGCCCAAGTGTTTGCAAGAAGCCTTAAATTGTGTAGTAAGCGTATTGCCACGTGGCGCACAACAAATTGATCCTCACAGCAAGGTTATCTCATAGGGATCCCAGATTCAAAGTCCACTCCTAAGTTACCGTACTTGGGACGGGACGGAACACAGTGGGACGAAATATTTTGTCCCACGTTTGATGTGCCTAAAACGGGTGGAACGTGTTGTTCCACGGGAAAATTTTGGGTGAATTTTCTTTCCACCTCATCCCCCTAGAACGACTCGTTCCACATCTGTGAAACACAAAATTATAACTCTTCGTCTCCTTCTTCTTCTTCCTTGTTTCCATCCGATGACATCTTTGCTCTCTCCGTTCCGTCCTGTCCCGTCCTGTCCCATTCCGTTTTGTTCCATCCCATCTGCATACCAAACAATACCTTAGTCTCCTCCCACAACAAAAAACCCAGAAGGGCCAATTTCGTCGGACCTGGCTTCTCTGCCCTCCCACTTCTTATACACTCTCATCTCTTCTTATTTATGTGGTTACAGTTAACTCAAGTCAACATTTTATATTATTATTGTTTTTTGTCTTATTATTTCTATAAAAAAATCAATATAAAATATTGACGTGACTTAACCGTGATCGCACAAAATAGAAAATGATGAGAATGTATAAACAGTAGGAGGGTAGAGCAGCCAAGTCCAATTTCGTCGACTACTCAAAAAGTTACAGTGGCAACCAACTCAAGAAAATCAAAAGAAAACCGGGAAATTATGAAAAGGCCACCATCCAATTAAATTTTTTAAAATTTCTTGGACTGATCCCAGTCCTTAGACCAACTCTAACTCTTAAGTTAAAACCTAAAATTTTTAGTCCAAAAAGTTTAGGTTTTAATCCAGAAACAGTTTTTTTGCTTCAACCCTTCCATCTCCAACCATTGGGCTAAAATCTAAAATTTTTAGCTCAGAAAATTTAGGTTTTAACCCATAAACAGGTTTTTTACTCATATTATTATGGGTTAAAATTTTAACACCACATCATTAAAAAATGAATTTAGGCTAATTTTTTTTCATCTTAAAGTAACTTTTTTAAAAGAAAAAAATTATGAAAAGTTTCATAAGTTAATTTTAAGAACATTTTAACTTAAAAATATTTAGATTCTAACAAATATTGAAAAATCACTAACCGACACCATGAAACTCGTGAAATATTATGAAACACATAAAAGAAATATTTTTTAATTACTTTAACCGTTAGATTTAAATTTAGACCGTTAGATTTTTTTTTACCGTTGGATTCAATAAATTTATAAATATAAAACTAATATATATATGGTGGACCAGCCCCACTATCCAAAGGGGGAATTCTTGGGTTAAATTTGGCCTATAAATGAGTTTTGAGTTTTAACTTATATTTGCCCCAAGGGTTGGAGCAAGTTGGAGTAAATTTAGAACCTAAAATTTGAGTTTTACTCCAAGAGATGGAATAGATCTTATGGGTTAAAATTTTAGTTCTAGATTATTAAAGAATAAATTTAGACTAATTGTTTTTTTTCTTAAAGTAACTTTTTTTAAAAGAAAAAATTATGTAGATTATCTTAATTTAATTTTATGAACATTTTAACTTTAAAAAATTTAGATTCCTACAAATATTGAAAAATTACTAACCGACACTTTGAAACTCGTGAAACACTATAAAAGAATATGAAACACATAAAATTTAATTGCTTTAGCCTTTGAATTTAAATTTGAATCGTTAGAATTTTTTTTTTTACCGTTAGATTCAATGAATTTATAAATATATATATATGTGGTGGGCCAGCCCCACCAACTCGGAGGGAATACTAGGATAAATTTGGTTTAGAAATGAGTTTTGAGTTTTAACCCATATTTAACCCAAGGTTGGAGCAATTTAAGATAAATTTAGAACTTAATTTTTTAGTTTTAGTCAAAATTAAAATAGGTCTTAGTCCTAAACAGAACCGTACTGACCTTAAAGTTAGTGCCTTTTCAGAATTGCAGATTGAGAGGGAGAGATACCAGAGCCCCTGGATGTCTCTGCTTCTCTATCTGACCCAAAGCCAAAGCTAGCGACTTGTTTGTTTCCTGGTAAAATTTGGATCACGGGAAGTCAAACCCGAGATGGTTTTGACGGAATACTTGAGGACAGTCGCTTGGGAGGAAGAAGGCTACCCAGCATATGAAGATTTCGTAATTCTTCCTCTGTTCGTCCTCTACTTCCCAACTGTCCGATTTTTTCTGGATAGATTCGTCTTTGAGGTACATAACATTGATTGGAGCAGCTCAAGTTTTTATTTTTTGTAGCTTACTGATGTTATCAATGTTGTTTATCCGACATTTTAGATCGTTAATGATGTTTTTTTAGTGTTATGTTGGTTGACCCATGTCGGAAATACCCTTGTATTTGATGGGTTGTGTTTGATTTTGTGTTATTTGATTAGCATGATTGAATGTCAGATTGGTCAGCGCGATATGCGTTATTGTTTTTGAAGTGGCTTGACTGGTTTTCTGGTCTTTGAGATTCAGTGTCTGTTTGCATTGTCTCTCAGTTTCCCTTAGGTCCTGTTTCTGCCGCATCTTGCATTCTCTTTTAATCAATGAAAAGGATTAGAAAGAGAGCAACTTGTTTTACATGGGAAGTTTCGAGTGAAAAGCTCCTCCGATGTCGATTAATGGTTAATGATTGTGTCAAAATTGTACCAGCCCTTTTTTCATCAGTGCCATAAAAGCAATGTAAAACTGAAGTTGTTTGCTTTCTGTATTGGTTTGGTGCTGATGTTTTTATTTCCGACAAGCAACTTAAACCGTTTATAGTAGTCGTCCTGAATATGACCGATTACTTTGTATGGCCAGATCGATAAACTTAAGGGTCTCAGTGTTGATTGTTGGTGTAAGATCATTGTTTAAGAGGATCGGTTACTTTTCTGCATTTCTCTCTCACACTAGCTATGTTGGCGGCGAATGCTTCTGCTTAAAAAAACTGATGTTCTTGATTATGCTCGAATGCTATACTTAGCTATGTAAAATGTACAGCCTAATCTTCACCCGAGCTAAAGTTTTCTAGGGCAGCTTTCGTTTTCCATTACTTTTCAGTTAAACGTTTGATTACTTGTTTCATTCTTATCCCCTAGTGCTCTATATATATTCCTAATCAAGGAGTGTGAACTTGACTACTTTTCTTTCCCTTAAGATCTTTATTTGCTCAGTGTTGATTTATATTTCATACTGCAGAAATTGGGGAGGCGGTTCATTTTTGGAAAGGGCCTTCAGAAACAGGATGTAAAAACTTATGAACAAAGGAAGAAGATTAGAAAATTCAAGGAGTCAGCATGGAAATGCATATATTTTCTTTCAGCAGAGTTTCTAGCCCTTCTTGTAACTTATGATGAGCCTTGGTTTACGAATACAAAATACTTTTGGGTAGGACCGGGAGACCAGGTCTGGCCTGACCAGAAAATGAAGTAAGTCTTAATTAGAATTTATGTCGTGTTCGTGTTTGTTTAAAAAAGGCATTCATAAGAAATCTGAGCTTTATCCTCCATAAAATGCTACATATGAATTTCAGGTTGAAATTGAAGGGGGTTTATATGTATGGTGCTGGATTTTACACATACTCCATATTTGCTTTGATTTTCTGGGAAACAAGGCGTTCCGACTTTGGGGTATCCATGAGCCATCATGTAGCATCTGTCATTCTCATTGTGCTGTCTTACATTTTCAGGTATGTTCTGATGGCGTGAGTTTGTAGCTTTCTCATGTTCTTAGTCACAAAACCAATGAAACAAGAATACTAAAACCTAGCAAAGGTATGAAGGAGGGTTTAAGTATTAGCATTATTACACAAGCACTACAGGTATTCGGGTTAAAACATCTAGGAAAATATAAAGAAATATTGACTATGTATTACAATGTATTTCATTTAATCACTTTCTCCTGTTTCTTGCAGGTTTGCCCGTGTAGGTTCAGTTGTTTTAGCTCTTCATGATGCCAACGATGTGTTTTTGGAGGTAGGGAAGATGTCCAAATACAGTGGTGCTGAAAGGACTGCTAGCGTTGCGTTTATTCTTTTTGTATTGTCTTGGATCATACTGCGACTCGTTTACTATCCATTCTGGATCCTTTGGAGTACAAGGTTTGTCTAACTCGATGCCTAACTTATACTAAGCTATATTAAAGTGACATATCAGATTCAATTTTTTTATGAAAGAACAGACATTAGTAGTTCTACAACGAATCTTCGGTCTATCTTCTATTCATTTTTGCTTGCTTCTTTTTCTGGCAGCTATGAAGTTCTCCTGACATTGGACATGGACAAACACTCTATAGATGGACCAATTTATTACTATGTGTTCAATACTCTCCTATACAGCTTTCTTGTTATTCACATATTCTGGTGGGTCTTGATGTATCGGATGCTTGTTAAACAAATCCAAGCAAGAGGCCAGCTTAGTGACGATGTTCGGTCAGGTGAGTGAATTGTCGTTTTTCCTTCCTGTTTTGTCATATACAAAGTACATAATTTGATTACGGAGGCACCGATGTATTTGCACCTGCATCCCTCTTTATTTATAGTTTAGCATTGTAGAATATTTTCTTTACAATGGTAGCGTAAAGTCAGTCAATAATTTTCACTTATGATTTGGTTCCCTTTTGATTATCCATCGTCTTAGTTTGTTGCCTGATCTTTGCTTTTTGTTTCTTTATCGATTTTCTCTGTTTAGATTCTGAAGGCGAAGAAGATGATCACGAAGATTAACTGAGAAACATAATATACAGCCACACTGTGACCCTCAGGCAAAGGTGCTCTTAAATTTTAGTAGCACATGTCATATACGAAAAGAAACGAGACACCTAAAAACTGCTGTATGCTTTATTTCCGTTGCTAGTTAGACCAAGGTATGTAGTTTCATTTTTCCTGCAGATGAGGAACATCTTACGTTCACACACTCGATGTACTCTTTCGATGGTGAAACTATTTTGGTGGAAGAAGCGCGTCGTGATTGCAGGGATGATAAGTTAACCGAGATACAATACGGAAGCAGGTTGCATGAACAGAGTGGCAAGGGTGCAGAAGTTTGGTTCTGAGTTCTGACTCAGCTCTCCCTTCACTGCCTTCAATTTGAATCTGCTGGCATGATTGATATGCTAATGCAAGGAATTTCATGTGTAATTGCTACTGTAATATTTGTGCACTTTTTCGAGTCAGCTGCAAGGTTTTTGTGAATACAATGGATCATTTCTTTTCTAAAGCATCCGTGATTTGCAAAAAATTTCGTTTTCTTTAAGTAATTAGGTCTCGAAAGCCATCTTTACAGTCTCCTAATCTCCGCTATTAATTGTCTGCGTTGTTTGTGGAACATGTTTTATCTTTGTTTCTCATAATTATATTTAGAAAATGAATCATTTAGGGATGATACGCGTTATTAAATCTGATTAAATATTTAACTCATAAAATTTACTAAAAGAAAATCAATTTTACTAATTAGTGATACTGCAGAAAGAACAATTGCACTTTTCTTGGAGAATAAAAGATTTACATTCATAATTTGTACCAAAACGACATCGTCTTTCTTTTTCAGGAAAATTAATGAAAAAAACTTGAAAACTTTAAATTTTAATGATAAGGACAAAATAAAAGATAAAGTGCATAGTACATGATTGACTTTTTAGTATATAAATGTAATTTTTCATTAAAGTAAACAGTACTGAACATTTTTCGTTAAAGTTTCCTACTTTTTTCCCCAGTATTCCTTTGCCTTCAGGCTTCAGCTACTACACTGGAGTCGCTGGACAAAGCCAGATTTAAAGTTGTGAACTCGTTGCGACGTCGTTTAAACTCGTCTTCATCTCCTAGGGTTTCTGATAATTCCACATTTGATACGCCATGGAAGATGTACTGACTGAGATTCCGCCACCATCGAGGTTCTTCCAGGAAGATCTCAACAGCTTCACACCTCCGTCGCCGCCCCTTCCCTCTCCCTTCCTCCTGTTCTCTCAAAACCCTGACGGAGCGGCTGCAGAGTTCCCTATCCGCCCCTCTCTCCTCATCCTCGCCCTATCCTCCCCATCCCTTCACCTCTTCCACAGCGTCTCCTCCAAATCCCTAATCGGAACCCTAATCCTCCCGGAAACCCCCTTCTCCGGCAACTCAATCGACCCCTCTCTCACAGACAAGTCCTGCAACATCTACTCCCTCCCGAACCCCCAAAACCCTGAATCCCCAACCCTTCTCGTCTCCTTCCAGTGCCCAATCGCCGCCGAGAGATGCCACGCCGTGGCCAAGCTGCTCACTTCTCATCAGATCGTCCCCCAGAGGATCCTGATTCTCGACTCGGTCCAGACCCTGAATTTCCGCGGCAAGCTCTCGAAGGACGAGGCGGCGGCGTTCAAGCTGGAGACCACCGAGGAAAGAAAGGCGCCGTCTTTGAAGCTGGAGTATTTCCCGTCGGGCAGCGTCGTGGATGGGCTGGGCGCGGCGCTGTTGGCGGCGTGCGAAATCAAGAACATCAGGGCGGCGCTCTGCGTGACGTGGCCGCAATTCGGAGCTCCGGTGCTGTCCCTGATCGGGTCCCACATCTTCCGTGCCTTTGATTTGGAACTGAGCATTGATTCTGATTGCAAGGATTATGTGATTCTAGGGCAAGATAAGGATCACCATCATCCTTTTGATTCTGATTTGTATACTTGACATGTTTCTTCGCTCATGTGCTTTTCTGGGCTCATAGAAATTCTGAATTTTCTGCAATGTTGTTGTATTGGTCATTCCAATTTATTTTTTCTGATACATGGATTTCCAAAGATTTTCAAGAGAATTAAGGGATTGAAATTAGTGTGTTGAAATCATTTCAGGGGAGCTCAAATTGCCATCAGCTTCCCCAAATCTTGTCAATGAGATAATCCAACTATTCAAGCCTTGCCTTGTTTGCCTTCTGCATGTTTATTGCTTAAGGCTTAAGGGATTGTTTGGAAGGGTTTTTTCAATGACTGAAACCGCTTTTAGCATAAATAATTTTAGATTCTAAAAGCACTTAAAATTATGTGTTTCTTGCAAAAAGAACTTTGAGAGCTTTTTAGGATTTATTTGTATTTTCATTAAGAATTGGTTCTAACATTATTTTAAGCACTGTCAATCATTTTAAAATCGCTTCCGAACGAGCTCTACTACTAAGATAGATTAACTTAACTTATTGAATGTTGGCATTTGAGTACAATTTTGGAGAGAGCCTTCTCTATAAACTCTGGCATCGCAGACAAATCACACGATATGATGTGGTATGATGTGAGAAACTTTTTGGGTATGACACCCAAAACACGCACAAAAGATTTCATGCATTCGGGTCTACCAAAATGAGCTTGTGTGTGTAAAAGATTTCATACCAATTTGAGCTTGTGTGTGTGTGTGTCTTGGACGAATGGGTGATGTGACAGATAAGCATACACAAGGGTCTCTCCTCCAAAAGGTACTCACTCATGTTGCAAATTGCATGCACGCATCGGTTTGATCGGTTTATTGTATTTGACGCGTGAAAGGTGAAACAAATCATATACTAATCATGTACTTTATCACATAGATTAAGAAATAATCGAGAGAATGCATTCTTGTGCGTCAAGAAACATTGACACGGGTGGCGTGCAACTCGATCACTAGTCCGAGTTCTTTGCCCAAACAAATTGAAATCCGATTTTTCCAACCAAAACTTCACTACAAAAAGATGAATAATTAAGATAAGATTACATTCTTCACCGTTTAACCTAATCCACCGATGAACAAGTCCACTCCATATTCGAACCTTTTGTACAATAGATTTATATGCTGGACCTTTTTTTCTTTCCAGAAGATGGTAAGCAAGAAGCCTCAACCAGTAACAAAACTTTTATGATACGGAAAAGTAGCGTTCCATACTAACGGTATAAAGATATGTGTAATTTTTTTATATAGAATTGTACTATTAGCACAAGATGTAACGATAACAATGAATCGATGTTATGTGAGTTGATCTCCTCAAGCGGTCTGATTTACTGTTAAGTCAAGAGTTCTGTAAAAGGTGAAAGGGTTAAACGTTAGCTGTCATTAGGCATTGTTTGTTGGAAAAAGCGTACGTCTTTTTAACTCTTTTGCTTGGTACTGCTGGTCCGAGAAAAACCCACCAACCGGGCCAAATAGTAGTTGCATCCAAAATTGACTCGTCTTTGTCCCAAATACTCAAACTCCCCATGCAAATTGATATGCAGACATTTTCATGCACTTTTCACTTATATATATATATCTCTCAGTCCCAACCATCTCTCCCACTCTTTCCAATCCTCCAAGAAAACCCTATCGCAACCGAAAATGGCTCCTTCCCTTGGCTCCCGACCCTTCGTTGTGCAACTTTTGCTGCTAGTTTTCTCCGTTTTGAGCACCGGCTTGCGTGCAGGTGACCCTCCGTTAACTTTGGACTACTACAAATCTGCATGTCCGACTGTGTTTGACATTGTGAAGAAAGAAATGGAATGTGCTGTGCTCTCTGATCCTCGTAACGCTGCCTTGGTAGTTCGGTTGCATTTCCACGACTGTTTTGTTCAGGTTCCCATTGTTTATGGTTTCAAGTTTTTGTAGAATTCTTAAAATTTAATAGAATCCCATTTGAGCCCTTGGTTCGTGTAAACAGGGATGTGATGGATCGGTTTTGCTAGAGGACACAATCGACCTGACAGGGGAGAAGAACGCTTTGCCCAACATACACTCTTTAAAAGGTTTCAGAATTGTTGACAGAATCAAGAACCAGCTCGAATCAGAATGCCCAGGAATCGTTTCATGCGCTGATCTTCTCACTATTGCTGCAAGAGATGCTGTGATTTTGGTACAAATTAGAATACATACCTCTCATATATATGTCTGTAAAGTTTTCTTCAAAAGCGGGGTTCTTACCCCTTCATTCATTGTTCTCGTCGGGTAGCCTGGATGATTCAAACTTGTTACAAGGGGTGAACATACTGCCTTGACCGACCGACTCACTTTCTAACCCACATCTGCTTCTTTCATTATTTTTTACTCTGTAAGTTGGCCAACACAGTACCTGCCCTAACGCACACTTGCTTTGTTATTGTTTTATTTTAACTTTGCAGGTTGGTGGACCTTATTGGGATGTTCCTCTAGGAAGAAAAGATTCCGTAACTGCTAGCCCTGAACTTGCAGATGCTAACATTCCTACTCCAAATGAAGGCCTTCTGAAAATCATCTCCAAATTTCTTTACCAAGGCTTATCAGTCACAGATATGGTGGCTCTTTCAGGTACTTGAAAAAAAGACCCAAATTTTATTGTATGTTAACGTCACATGTAACCTTCCTCTCACACATAAGCCGGACTTGAATGCATGTGACCATCACACCCTTAAACAGTTCAAAACACATGTATATGCGCATGAGCGATTGATGCTAGCTAAACTTTTCTCAATATATACATATCAGGAGCTCACACAATCGGCATGGCGCGGTGTGAGAACGTAAGAGAAAGGATTTATAGTGGCGAATTCGAAGCAACTTCAGGATTCAATCCGCCGTCTGAGTCGCACCTCAGCAACCTGAGATCGACGTGCCCACCAGTTGGCGGGGACAATAACGTAACCGCCATGGATTACGTGACTCCCGAACTCTTTGATAATTCTTTCTATCAACTGCTGCTGAAAGGGGAGGGAGTGCTAAACTCAGATCAGGAAATGTACTCTAGTTTGTTGGGGATCGAAACGGGGGAGATTGTGAAGAAGTATGCAGCTGATCCAATTGCTTTCTTCGAGCAGTTTTCGGAGTCGATGGTGAAGTTGGGAAATATTCCTAACGATGAAAGCTTTGAGAATGGAGAAGTGAGAAAAAATTGCAGGTTTGTCAACACTTGAGAGCTGCAAAAAATGCTGCAACCAGTCCTCACGAGAGAAGCTTCATTCGGAAAACCGTATTTGTTATAGTTATACCAAGAAATGATTACAAATTTAAATGTTAATTTACGTTTGAAAGTTAATGATATAAGAATGTTTTATATCCTCGTTCATAATACCTTGTGCAAAGTGAAAGATTGAAAGAGATTAAAAAACAGTACTCCTTGCACGGCTGGCTGAAAATTTTGAGTTTGATTCACTCACACGGTAAGCTGAATGCTTTTGAGTCTTAATATTTGGATCTGATGAGTTTAATTTTTATGTGATCATATGTATTAGGGAAATTTTATTTAAACCTAATTAACCTCTCTCTATACCCAACTTAAACTTTAAATGTGAATTGTCATTTTTACTC